GCCCTCGCTCAGCTCTGAGGACGGCTGGTTGCTGTATCCGTTGTTGTCGCTGAGGGACACGGCTGTGAAGGGCCCAGGCCCCGGTCCTGATCCAGGTCCAGGTCCTGGGCCGCACATCTCACCGGAGATGCTGTGAATGGAGGCCGGGCCGCCTGGCTCCGGGCTGCCCGGTGAGTCCGCGGGATGGTGGTGGGACGAGACCACCGTGTCCGGGAAGCACGGCGCGTCTCCGGCGGCGCAGTGCGCGTGTGGGTGGGGGTGGTGATGGTGGTGGTGGTGGTGGTGGTCCACGCCTCCCAGCGGGGTCCCAGCGGGGACTGCGGAGGGCACAAAGCCCAGGTCTGCCGGAGTCTGAGCCTGCGATGACGGTGGGCCTTGGAAGTACTCGTAATTCCCTCCCGGACCGTAGAATTCAGCGGGATAATCTGCGTTCAGAGACACGGGATTAGCGCCCGGGATGGAGTCAACACAAAAGCAAACAAACAATAAACAACAGTCTTTGGAACGGATCTGTTTGTTCGTGATTTTAGGATCAGTAGACACCAAATAATCAACCGGTTTCAATAAATATTGGAGGATAATAATATAATAAGTTGAACCTCCATAGTAGGAGAAGTGTCCCAGCTCTCCTGGCTCCAGTCTGTCCCCCAGAGCTCTCATCCTCCTCGGGCTCCTGAAGAACACGTGCCTGCGAGCGCTCAGGGCGCTCAGCTGCTTCATCCGCCTCTCTTTGGACCTCCGGTTCTGGAACCAAACCTGCAGGGCGGAAGAATGTACTTATTTATTTAAAAAAAAAAAAACATTAAAAAAACAACGCACTTTTTTGAATCGCTGGAACTGAATAGAATTAGTTGTAAATATTACATTTATTAGATTGAATACAAAATTACAGTGAAAAGATGTGTAACACGTGACCTTTGAGGGGGAACGCGCCAAAACATTCAAGAGAGAATCGAATAAATAAAATAGGCATATTTAAGGTCGCTGTTGGACACTGACGCTGAGTGAGGGTCGCTTTTTATAATGAGAGACTGTATAATAAAATAACCTGAAACTGGTCAGGGAGAAATACATATTTTAAAAAAGGAAAAACAGTAGGCAAATAAAAATAATTATAATAATTCTATATTTTAGGTTATTTCCTAGTAAATAAACCACAACGCACCAGTGGACATTTTCACTGTGTGTGTGTGTGTGTGTGTGTGTGTGTGTGTGTGTGTGTGTGTGTGTGTGTGTGTGTGTGTGTGT